ATCCAAGGCCAAATCATTAGGCTTTCTGATTGTTATACAACAGTTAATCGCCCATGGGATTTTCACTTCTAGAGCAGCTTAAGGGTCCAAGTCCTCCCGCTACTAGTTGCTTCGTTGAACTAAGTGATTAAGAACAACGGCATATAAATAAGAAATATATAGTTTGAATATGGTAGTTGACAATGCATTGGATTAAAAGAAAGTGGAAGAAATTAATTTAATAAGAAAAGCTTCAAGTTGTTCTATGATGCATGTTGTATTGACTCCCTGTATGAGGAAATTGAGAATGTTGATTAAAATAAAACTTAGTCTAAGTACATTGGACGAAAAGCATAATTTAGCACACTTTTTAAAAATCAAGTTTATATTCAAACATGACGCAATCAGGCAGTACCATCACATGAGCTTCATAACTGAGTGTGTTGCTTTCTTAGTCACTTCAGCAAGTGCGGGAATTAGTGGCGCTAGGTGGCTTGCATATCTCAGTTTACCTACAAGCAAAGGTGCCAGTCTTGCGCCGCCCGCCCAGTTTCATTATTTGCAAGTCAATACTGGTACTCTTGAGCAGTCCCTATTTTTGCAAACACATCCTATTTCCTGTTTTGATGTCTCGTCCTTACCTGTTTACCTGCTTTACTACTTGTTTTCATTATATCACGCTGGTTGAGAACTGTGAGAAAGAAAGTAATGTGTTTCATTTTCCTCCTTTATACTGCTAAATTTTTGTGGATCTTGCAAGGTTTTTCCACGTCCTTATCGTTGTAATTAGTTGAAAGGCATTGTAAAATGGTTTACTGGTAACTCCTAAGGGTTACCCTAGATTCTAAGCAGAGCATCAGACTATCAATTTATGCTTAGAAAATCACACCGCAGATAAGAGGGGCTTTGTTCTAGAGATTGCCACGAAACACGCGTCACCTTATGGGCGACATCATTATAGTATCACCAGGATTCTTATTACCTAATCGGCGTCAACTTCCTCACTTACTTGCTTTGAAGTGTAAGTAAACGAGGTATTTCGTTCTACTAGTGAAGTGCTGTAGTTCATATAAAGTGCTGTTAACGCACAGTAATGAACGCTTTTGAATACCCTATTACTGCAAAGGCTCAACCATATGCGCTAGTGTTGCCTTCTGGATAACTCTAGTCTTGGTAACTGAAGCTTTATTAGAGCGAAGGATGTAATACTCTCTGATCTTTTTGAAGTACTAGATTACAACTATAGTGCCAAATTACGGAAAAGATAACGATCAGCAAACTTCTTATTCCCGCAGTACCTAATGGTTTGGTCTTTGATGCACCGGTAAAATGCCACGGTATGAAGTTTTTTAACGCTCTTCCATTTATTACAATGTCGTATACATTGTCGTAATCATCCTGCTTTGCCTGTACTTATTTCAGATACATTTGTTTTTATAGGATATTCGTTCGTGTAGCAACTCCCGTCGAGACTCTAGCTCAATTATACCCTCAAATTTTCTAATAGTATATTTTTTTTGCGAGTTTTTCACACTATTTCTCAATTTTTGGAGCGGAGTTCTCGCGTGTTAGAGTAAAATTGAGCTATAAGTAATGGCC